CTCTTGAAGTATCCCAAGCAAATACCAAAACTGAAAGATCTACACATCCTTTTACACAGAACCAACATTTGGGGTAAGTAACTGTAAAATAAACCTAACAAGACTTTGCTTCAACGCTCAATCTTTATAGCTTATACGACAGTCACTGGAGTTATGGGCGCCGTATTGTTGGATCCCACTGACAAAGCCGACGTCGCAGCCCTAGTCGGGGAAAATGAAGCCGGGAATGAATTTAAGAAGCAAATGTACACCAGCGCCAGATTTCGAAGGCACGCTGAGGTTGTCCTGCCGTGGCTGTTCAATCGCGGCGTGTTGGAGTGCTGAACATACATATGTATGTATGTACATATCACACTATAAATACAAAATAATCGAAGACCTAAACTTTTGAAAATCGCTTTTCCGTAATATTTCTTTATTGGCGCTAATGTCGTTGCTTCTTCCTGTTCTACAGCTTTTTGGTTCTCCTAAAATTTCATAAGTTTTGAGTTGCGACTGCTTTGTATTTAGCGTAGGGCTGTAAAAGTAACGAATATTTGGATAGCCGTATGTATTCGTTACTAATCCAATCAACAGCCGTTACTTTCATATCGTTACTTTACTCGTTACTTTTGATACAAGCATTTGTACCTCACACAACTCATCGCAACGAACCTCGTCCTGTCCGCTCGTACATTTACATGCATGTACATTAGAGTGGTTCTAATTTTTGTGTTTAGGAAATTCATAAACGCTACTTCAAATTATTGTTATTTGTGATAAAAAATTATAAACGTATTTTTTATTTTGAAAAAAAAGGTTTTTTAGAGGTTGTTGCTGCTGTAGCAGCATACAAGTTCCCCAAAACGTTTTTGGGGAGTGTTGCTGGAGTGACAGTCCATGGCCAGTTATAAATCTGGGTCGTTCCGGTTACGTAGACCCGACTGTCGTGGGAACTCTTTTTAGAGGTTGTTGTTGCCGCGCTAGTCGGTTTTTATAAAAACGCCGATCTTCTAAATTTTTTTTTATTTTCGTGACATATTAAAATGCGCTAAGATTTGGGTTTTTACTCTGGTATTATTAGGGGACATTCCCTTAATTACATACCTGTCTGGACAGATAGAATGGGCCCAGTGCCCGAAAATATGCTTTTGAAAAGGGACTACCAAAATTAAAAGGTTGATACTGAACGAACTGAAGTCAGTTTTTTTAATACAATATGGCAAGCAAGTTCTTAAAAAATTGCCTAAATTAAAACGTTGATACTGAACGTTTTAAGCATTGTCATGGGTTGAAACTCGTTACCAGTGGATTTATGGCATTGCTGATTACGAATCTGATGTCAGATTTTCAAAATTCAAAATGGTAGTTCCGAGCTTCAAACAAATCCAATCAATTTTTTTGTTTAAGTTGATCGCCACATTGGATCCGCCATTTTGCATTTTGAAAATCTGACATCAGATTCGTAATCAGCAACCCCAAAAGTTTAGTATGCATACGCCGCCAGATCCGGCAAAAGGTTCGGATTAAAATGGGGTTTCTATGTGGAATAGATTTAATTTGGTATGTATGTTTGACTGAAAAATTCCAGGAAGTATAACAATTACGATTATATATTTATATTTATAGTAAAAATCACAACTCAAAGACTTAAAGGTTTGATTTATATTTCATTTCGTTTTTTTTTCTCTGTGAAACTCTCGAAATCAAAAATGGAAAGTTTAAGAATCCTTAGTACCCAAATATGAATTGATAT